CCTATATCTGAATGTGCCTTAAAGAACTGTTTAAAAATAACTAGGAGGGCCAGATTCTGGAGAAAAGTACACAGAACATAGAGATAAATCTGTTTTCCTAAATTGGCTGTTTTAGTTTTGGCTGTGCTGTTTCCTGCTCAAATTGGTTTCCTACAATTTGTTAAGGCTGCCAAATACTTAGTGATCTCAGTGAGATACTCAACAAAATTGGGCAGATCTTTGTTATTTTTCATAGTGACAAAAAGTTCACAGAGAAACTTGCACAAAGAGGTTAATAATAAAGTGAGTTAATTTGTCTTTTTTCTACATTTATCATTTTCATCTGGCTACTTGTGATTCAAGAAAACAATGCACAGCCTCCAAATATAATTTCCTGTCTGCTCCTTTTCATAACTGATTTGGGATAAGTTTCTTTACCACCAAGCAAGGTAAAGCTTGAGCAATCTGACCTCACTCTAATTCAGAAAAATAAAAAGAAATCAAAGTAGAAAGAAAAAAATCAATATTCAACAATGGTTTTCAAAATCAAAACATGCAAGATCCTAATCAAAAGATAAGTTTATGATTACCAGTATATACAATGCCATCTTCACACAATTTACAATACCAGCCTAAAAAAAAGTCTGGTATAAAAGTGAACCATGATAACTGAAATAACACAGCAAGGAACTTCAGGCAGCGAGGACACAGGTAAGTTCTTCAGAGCACATTCATTTATTAAAGTGGCATTACAATCTGCTGTATGTCACACAGTATATTATTTTGCCCAAACAGCTTTACATGCAAATACTTATTGCAACGAGTCACTGATCTGGTTCAAGGTTTGGCAAAAAATTAGTTTCACTAAAATCTTTAGAGCAACTCACTTTGTTAAAGTACAAATGACATTTCTCAAAACTACAAAAATGACAAAATTTAGTTCCTCTATTCAGAAATCCTAGGCCTCTCAGTCCATATATATACCGCCCTATAGTCACATAAATGAATAAGCTAGGGCAGGTAGGAACAAAAGGCCTATCAAAAAGAATTTTAGTAAATATTAAAAACAACTCACATTTAATATAAAATTTACTTGACACTAAAAAATGTAGAAGACAGGACATTTTTATCAATACATTTTTATAGATTTCAAAAATTATTTCATAACACACAGTACAAGAAATCTACTATTCAATATTAAATAGGGATGAAAATTCCTAAATGAGACAAAAATAAAGAGAATAAAAATTTTGAACCTTCCTACTTTTATTAATATATTTATGCTAACAAACAATAAATCTTTGCTAACATAGACAATCTTCGCTAACACAGACAAATCTTTGCTAACTAACATAGACAATCACAGTCTAACTGCATTCTTTTTTTTTTTTTCTTTAAGCTTTTACTTATTTTATTTATTAGGTAGAAGGTCCCCTACTCAGCTTGGACTCAGATCCTCCTGTCCCAGCCTCCCTAGTGCTGGGATTACAGGCATATGCCACCACACCCAGTTTCAGTGGCTGGCACGCATGACATGGTTTCAGAGCCGGCACAGGATGAGGTACCAGAGATTAAATCTGGTAAGTCTTTGCATTTGCCAGGCAGGAACTTAGACTACTGAGCTATCTCCCCATTCCTCTAACTGCATTCTTAACCTGAAGGCATGAGCATTTCAAAACAGTATGACAATCTTAGTTTTTTATCATGGCTTTAGATTGGAATAGGTAAGGGAAGTCTTGCCAGGGCTTTTTATATAAACATGGTACATGCGGCTGCCAAAGTAACCCAACTTCTCCGAGTCTAAGGAGTCAGTAACCCCACTAAACTTGTAACACACAGGTTGAGAAACTGTGCCAAAGACCAAGCTAACATATGGTGTTCCAGGGGAGCATTCCCAGTTCTCATCTGCCATTAGTACTGGGGCAATGGGATGTAGAAAGGGAAGCAAATACGATCTGACAAGCATAATCATGCAGAGTCATGAATCTCCATTCTTTAGTCATCCTACCATTAAAATCATTTAATAAAGCTCACATGCCAAGCACCAGCGTACTCTATAGACCAGTAGAAATGTTCCGTATCTGTTCTTTCCATTGTGGTGGCCACTAAAGACATGCAGTTACTCAGCATGAAATCTGGCCAGTGATAGTGAGAAAATGACAGTTTTATTTTACTAATTTTTATATGACTTCTAATAGTCACATGTGACAAGTCGTTATCAGTCAGAGTGTATAATGTTAGCCTGACCATCAAAATATAAGGAGCATTCTAAGACTTCCAGTGCCTAGGCTGTCAATGGACCAAAGAGTGTGTCAGCCATGCCAATCTGCAAAGGAAAGGGACAGGTCCAGAGCATATCGTGCCATCAGTGTAATACTCCACAGGCCATATACACCACAGGATCTACCAACCCACATCTGCACTGAGTATTAGTTTAAGAAACCAACCCAAGAAAGGACACATGCTGTCCCTTTCATTTACTGCTGCATGCGAGTTACTATGTGAGAGCTAGACGCTAGAAGCACTTATAGACAGAAGACTCTTTCCTAAGTAAGCAGAACATCATTATACCATAGCTCTTTCTTGTGACTAATTTCCACCACATCCTTCCTACAAATGAAGGAGAGTGGCACTCAAATTATAGTAAAACAGTATTTGCTGTAGAGGCTTCAGATGGATGAGAATTTAATTCTCACCTCCTTGCTCACCACTTCATGTGACTTTGTTTTTTGTTTGTTTTTTAATTAATTTTATTGAGAAACAAATAGCAATGAGGAAGTTTCACACCTATGTGACTTTGGGCAAAATAATTAATCACTTCAAGTCTCAGTTACCTTCTACATAAAATGGCTCAATAACAATTCCTCTCTCATAGGGTTATAAAATAAGAAATATCTAAAGATTTAACAGAACACCTGCTATATAATAAACATCATTTAAGTTTTATCTATCATTATTTAATCACTATTTTTTCATCATCATAAAATCTTCTCAGCAAAGTGGGTAGAAAAATAATCTACTTAAAACAAATATTTTAGAATATCAATTTTATTTTATTTTTTTTTTTTTAGGGAAGGGTTCATGGGGTGTTCAGGGTCTCACTACTAGATCGGACTCGTAGCGATTCTCCTGTTCACAGCCTCCCAATGCTGGGATTATAGGCACGCAAAACCACGCCCAGTCTCAATACCCCATCTCAGCACGCCCTGAGCTATTTGGCCAGCCCCTAGAATATCAATTTCAGAAATACGTATATATCAAAAGGTATTCTTGGGGCTGGGGAGACGGTTCAGTAGAATAAGTGCTTGCCTGGCAAGTGTAAGGTCTGAGTTCAATCCCTGGTTCCGCAAAAAAAAAAAAAAAAAAAAAAAGCCTGGACTACGCAGTAACAATAACCCTGTCTTAACAATAACCAAATCATAAGGAAATGCATGGAATTATATTCAAAAATGATTAAAAATAGAAAATGGCTAATGTATAACCTATATTAATTCCACAAACAATGACTTACTAAGAAGCAGGTACCCCTCTACAAGCTGGTAATTCATTTGTGAAAAGACAAGGGACTAAGGTTGATGTGCTCAGGTTCTGATGAAGGTAAGAGCCACAGTGGGCAAACAGAGGAAGGGAGGTAGGGCAGAATGAACGATGAGATGATGCCGAGAAGGTAGAATGGCCAGTTGTGGAGACCAAGAAAACCAGTTGAGGGGCTGGGGAGATAGCTCAATAGAATAAGCCCTTGACTGGCAAGTGCAAAAGCCTGAGTTCAATCCCCAGTTCCGCCAAAAAAAAAAAAAAAAGAAAGAAAGAAAACCACTTGAGATGATATGCTGTGTGACACAGAGAGCCACCACTGAGACAAGACATGAAGTAATTTACTTTTTCAAATCTACAAGGGCCTTTGTTAGGCAAAGGAGCCAGTTAGGCATCTCTGGTGAGAGGTATGGTAAGAAATGATGGCTGTCTCTGCATTGGACCAAAGAGTTAGACCTGAAAAGACATAGTGTATTCAAACTCATCTTCAAGATGGAGCTGACAAGACCAGCTAAGGCTTGATGTAAGGGCTAAGGAAAAGAGAAAACAAGGTGAATCTTTCTCAACTCTCTTATTTAAAAAACGGTTTGGAAAAGGCAAAAACTATTCATCTTGGCTATCCTTACTCTGAATATACCAGAAGCTCAATTCACATTTACTCACTTACTGATGGGGGAGGTCAAAAGCACCCCGAGTGAATGGAACATGGGCAGCAGCATCTCATCCTTCTCAATTTCACCACATGGAGCAGGATTTATCCTTTTCTAATATAGAAAAGCCTCAAATAGTGTAAAACTAATCATTTTAGTTATTTTCTTGTTGCTTTTCACAATAACCTGCAAGTCCATTTCTCATTTGGGCAGTAACAAGAACAGTACTAGACACTTAGCAAGCACTCAATAAGCATCTGTAGGATGAACAGATGGGTGGGTTGGGAAAGAAGAAGAGAAAGTGTTAGGCCTTTTATCCCCTTCTTACCCAGCAAGACCTACAGATAAAATAAGGCTTCCTAATTCTCTATGGATTTAACACCATATTTTTATCAATAACTAAGACTGACTTTCATGAAGTAAACATTTTATACACTTAAAAACTTTTATTAGAAAATAACATTGTTTCAAATACTTAACAATTTAGAACAATAAATCACTATTTTCTAAGTTCAAATTTTTATAAGATTTACTCCTAAATATACAATATCCTAATAGCAGTCCATTTTACACTTCAAGATATGAAATCACCTTCTAACATTACTAGAAGTTTTAGGAGTTAAATAAGAAAACAAAATTTCCAAAGACTACTTGAAAGTAAATTCATTTGTTGTGCCAAGCCTTTTAAAAACCCAGAGGATTTCTAACATTCCGTATAAAAAGTTGAATATCCAAAAAGCAAAAAGACAGAGGAAAGTTGAATTTGACTACTGAGCAAACATTTTCCATTTAAAAATTTTCAATTAAAAAATACATAAATTGAAATGCTTTTGATACCTGAGGCACCATAAATACCAGAATACCGCTGAGACTTCGAACCAGATGGAGAGGATTCCTTCATTCGATCAATCACATTTTCTGAAAGCTGAAAAAGCAACATCAAAATAAAAATCAATGGTAAAAGAACAAGAAAGAAGAACAGTGCAATAACATCGTACAATTTAGTCTTTCACATCAATATGTATAACAAATAGCCTACAGAACAGTGGGCTAAATCTAATAATCATAAAATCAGTTGTGAGTCAGAGAATAGTTTTAAAAGTTTAAGATACACAACAATACTTCTTCATTTCTTCTAATGCACTGCTAATTGCTCATTATAAATAACTTTTCTCCTCATTTTATGCTGTGTACTGAATTGTAATCTCAGAGAAAATGTAAACCATCAGAATTCCTTTAACTTTCTCCCCTAATCCTACAAATGTACTTGTGTAATAACAAGCCTTAGCTCCTTCTTTCCCAATGGTCCCAAAGAAAACACTGTTCTTTCCTCCCTTCTTCCCTCCTGTTCAAGATTAGTCACATACAATCACTCTTTCAACAAACTTTTTAGGTACTGTGCAAAAGGAACTAGGCATACCTTGAGAATTTACAAAGTTACCAAGTTAGTTAAAGTAAAGCGGAAACAACAGGTACAAGGCAATCAAATATAATGTAAAGGACATGACTTGAGTTACAATCCTGTACAGAAACAAGGATAATGCTGGAGCAGAGTGTCAGGGAAGACCAACAACAGAAGGATGCAGAGAAGAAGAGGATTGGACAAGAGGAGGGAATCACTTTAAACATACATGAGAAATGGGTTTGCCACCTTGGACATCCAAATGGACCTATCATGTAGGCAGCAAGCAACAGGACCGAAGTTCTGAGGAACACTTGTGTCCAGAGATTTGAGTCATTGGCTCTACAGTTACTACTGGGTCATTCTTTTTTATTTCTCCTGATGGTGGTTACCACGATCTGATGTTTCTTGTTTATCGTCTGACTTTCACAAGAGAGAAAGCTTCATAAAAACATGGAGGTTGCTTACTTATCACCATATTCTCAGAGCCTAAAAAAGCCTGGTTAATAAAATTGTTAGGTTACTAAAACGGCATGAATAAACAAAGGGCTGAAACAGAAAAGGGGGGACATAGTGAAAGAGAGATACACATTTAAGATTTTAAACTCTTAGTAAGTTATTCGGTTTAAAAAATCTAAACTATAGCCACAGGACAATCAGGCATACTGATGGTTTAGAAGCAGGGTAATGGTATGATAAGATTTACATTTCAGAAAGATGACTTTGGCTAGAGTGTAAAGAACAGATTGGAAAGAGATAAGAACAGAAGAAGGACCCCTGAAGGAGGCCAAAGGACCAATTAAGAAGCCATTAAACATATGTCTACCCAAAACTTCATTATTTACAAGAATATGTCAACAGTTGTCTGTGGCAAAAGGAAAGTACTGCATTGAGCAGGTAGAAATTGGAGTAGTCCTTGACTACTCAGGATAGTAATCTACCCAAATTCCTTGATATGGAATTCCTGGGCTGGTCTTTAATGACCTCTTTTCTCTTCTGGTAGTGAAGAGGGATGTTGGAGTCTGGCTTTGAGCCAGAATTCTTGAGTTCAGGAAACAGCATTATTCAAAATAGCAAGTAGAAAAAAACAAATATCTATTGAATGGATAAAAAAAAAAAAAAAAAAAACTACACATCCATGCAGTTCAGCAATAAATAATAATATCCTAATAAAGCTACAGTGCAGATGGCCCTAAAATTAAGCTAAATGGAAGAAGTCAAATATAAAAGGTCATAGATACTGCATGATTCTAATTATTATATGAACCACCCAGAAAAGGCATCACTATAGAAAGAAGACTGGTAAGCAGTTGCCTAGGACTAGGGTATGAATAGTGATTAACCATAAACTGACACAAGAGATCTTGGTCAGTAATGAAAATGTTCTAAAAGTGGATTGTAGTAATGTTGTGTGACACAGTAAACTTATTAAAAGATGTAGAATTATACACTTAATACAAGTGTGTTTCATGGCACGTACATTATTGCATAAAAAGTTATAACAAGAAGAGCTACTATAGTAATCCAGGAGAAAACCTAATCAAAAGACATTTAGACTCAAGATAGCCTACACTCATGAAGTACTTATCATAGATTTATGCCAGGCACTATACTAACCTAAGAATTTCACTTACTTAATCTTTAACAAGACTGGGAGATAAATTTTATTATCTCTATTTTATAGGCAAGGAACCTGGAGACACAGCAAATAATCCTCGCCCTGGATCATATAATTTATCAGCACAGTCAGGATTCAAACCTGAAGTCAGTAATTCTGGCTCAAAAGCCAAACTCCAACATCCTTCTTCACTAACAGAAGGGAATAGAAGTCATTAAAGACCACCCCAGGGATTCCATTTCAAGGAATTGGGTATATCACTATCCTGAGTAGTCAAGGACCTTCTTCCAATTTCTACTTGCTCAACTCACTACCCTCTCTCCTTTTACCAAGGATAAATGTTGACATATTCTTGTAAAAGTCACCAGTGATCATGTTATTCACATTTATATACATATATTTTATTACATTTACAAACACCATATGTATATGATTGTGGAATGCCCTCCCCCAAATTTTCTGACAGTCCACTCTGCTGGTTCTCTAAGAATTCTGGCCATGTGTTCTTTACTAAGGATTCCCCTCTGCTGTCTACTCAAATGTTAAAGGGCCCTACCTGCTGTTCTCTGCCTTTGTTCTGTTCTCATTCCATGTAGTCTGGTAACTCTCATCCAATCCCTTGTTTTTGAACTATTTCTGATAAATTAGCAAAATCTAAATCCAGTATCTCTAGCCCAGTACCTGTCCTTAGAAGACAGCCTTCCTACACTCAATTGCTTAATGAACATCTTCCCTTGGGGAAATCAGAAGCATCTCACATATGTCCAAAACTGAACTCACATTTGCCAAAAACCTCTTCTTCCTTCTACTTCCTTACTCTGTGAAACTACCTCCACCCAGCTGCCCAAGTCAGAAAATAGGATCTGTCAAAAACTCCTTTCTTCATTCTTTGGTCCATGACTTCTCAATCCATAAGTGTTTAGTGAATTTATCATCCCATTTCTCCTGCTCCATTTTATAGTACCATGAATAATCCTCCTAAAATGCAAATCTGACTATGCTAACTCCTTGCTTCAAAGCCTACCAGAAGCTACCAGAAGTAGTACACCTAAATCTAAAGACCAATGATTTAACATTAAACTTATTCATTCAGTCCCACCCATATAATAAAAATGCATCATTCCTCTTAAAGAGATCAAATGAGACTTCATTTTAGAATTAGATCCTAAATGTTTAGAGTTTAGATTTGTGTATTAATCTTCATATACATCACTTGCTGTAATTAATATAGTACATTAACATATGATATGAAGCATATATATGAATCAAATGAGCTTATGTATCACATTTTATACTTCATATTTATACTACATATTAATATTTAATGAAGTAGGCTTAATAAAATACATTAAATGTGATATGTAAAACTTAAGTGATATATAAACCTTATTTAACTTGTACATACATGACATATATATTCAATGTACTATATTAATGTTACAACATATTATATATACACTAGATAATGTATTATATCCATCACATACAGTATGTATAATGTACTACATGCCATAATATACAATAAACTGCTACACATCCAACATCACTTTTATGAATATATAAAGTTAAACTGTTACACATCCAATAACACTTCTATGAGTATATAGTTAATTGAATTTCATATAATTCTTACATATATAATTATAATTTTATAATTTATATTTCTATATTTCAGGCTGAAGTCAAAGCACTAGTTACAAATATTCAACTAATCAGGAAGTGAATGTTTGCTCAAATCCAGTATTACCTTCTAAATACCTCCATCTACTTCTCATCCAAATTTGTATCTTGCACCTATCTATGGGCACTACAAAAGGTCTTGCCAATTGCCAAAATATCATCCCTTGAGACAGTTTTAAAAAAAATGAAAAGGTGGCCCACGATGAAGTTGTATTACTCTAGGGAAGTCACTCCAACAAGCCTCATTTCCTATATCTGAAAAACAAAAATATTTACCTCCAACATATCATATGGTTGCCTTGAAAAGTCAATCTTCTTTTGTTCTTGCAATCATTCCAAAACTGCACCGTTAGGCCCTTCAAAGAAGCTTCAATGACAGTCTACAGCTGTGACTGTGTCATCAAGCACTACCACCCAACCCCCAGTCTATGTGAAGCTATGCTGGCCCAAAGCAACAGGCATGCTGTTGTGGTTTGTATATGAAATTCATGTTCTCTGAACTCAAGTTCCAGTCACTATAGTAAGTACAAACTGGTACACACACCTGATCTCCTCTTGAATAGGAGCATTCACTCACTTGTAAAGTAGCTGACAAGATTTAGAGTTCTTGGCCAAGGTTATACACAAAATCTGCAGAACAACACTTCACTTTTGTGTGATGAAAACTGACCCCCCCAGAAAAAGGTCAAAGGTACAATGTAAGCCTCTGCAAGAACTGGCCAAGAAACCTCTGTAGAAAGATGCTAATGAATAAGTCATTTTTCTCTAAACTAAAACTTCAGCATTCAGGTTTAATTGCAGTGTTGCAACTTTGCAATAAATAAGTGGGTTTGGGGTTGCAGTTTGGGTCCTCGTCTCTAAAAGTTTTGCCATTACTGGTCTACAAACTAAAAGAGCCAGTTCTCACCTCAGGGGCAATCACAGGAATCAGGCTTCGCATCTGTAATCTCACTACTCAGGAGGCTAAACAAGTGGCAAGCTCCAAATCAGCCTGGGATCTTAGCAAGAAGAACCCATTCAAAACAAAAAGAAACGGTCTAGGGAAATAGCTCAAGAATGGGGTTCTTACCTAGAGGGAGCTAGGCAAAGGGTTCACCCCTAGTGCCCGAGAGAAGCAGACCTGCCACACTCAGAACAGACCTGGCCCATTCACCTGTTCTTTACTACTTTTAAAGATAAATTCAAGGGCCAGGGAGATAGCTCAGTAGAATAATTGCTTGCTTGGCAAGTACAGAGTCCTGAATTCAATACCGAGTACCGCAAAAAAAAAAAAAAAAAAAAGATAAATTCAAGCAAGTCAAACATGCTGATTTTAAATTAGTACCACTCCCCACACCAGTGTACTCCAGAGAAGAGGATGTATGTCATCAAATCTTCCCACTCATCTCTCTCCACCTACTTTGTTTGGTATTATTGAAAATTAGCACAAACATGCCACCCACTAATTCAGAATCCAGTATCTTCTCAGAGACAGAAGACTAGATGAGACAAAGAAAAACTATTCCACACCCCAGGAGCAGAGCAAAAAAAAAAAAAAAAAATTCATTCTAAGTTGCCCTTCTCAAAGTCAAGTCAGGAACCACAAGAGACAGAAATCAGATTCACCACATACCTAACAGTTTTTCTTCCAGGTGTATCTTAAGTTGATTAAAGAAATCAGAACCTTTTTCTTTCTCGATCTTCTTTGGGTTTGCTTTTCAACTGTCTTAGACCCAGGCTCCAAAAACTGCCATTATTATTTGGGAAACAGAATACCCAAATATATGTTTAAAGGGCCTAAAGCCCAGGAGAAATATCACACATATACAGGGAAATATATAAAAAATATGCAACTCTTAGTTTATGTTGAAGTTTGCTACTTGTTCCTTAACACCTGTCATTGATAGAAACCATGAAATTCTGTCTTTTAAACATCCTAGCAAGCTTAACATGGTACCATGCCCAAGAAATTCTCATCATCTAAAGTTTAAAGGGACCAATCATCTACCAGTTAACAATATTCCTGAACACTCCCCAATGGCAGACTGTATTTGTAATCTCTGCTAACTTACTCCCTCCAGAATCTTCAGTTAACACCTCACATTGTGATTTCTTCATTGAGGGGCTTTCAACTGCCAAAACCTCCCACAGCATGAGATGTGTCCCACATAGGTATCCATGCTGCCATATCTGGCTCCTGTGAATTTCAGCTTATAACTTCAAGGCCAACTGTAGAGATACACTGATGCCTGGAAACCATGCTAATAAATATTACTTTGAAAATGATAACTCATTGAAGTTGACATTTGCTCTAGTCGAGTTCACTCACAGCTTTGATGTTTCAGATAAACTTGTGAAAGACTGAGTCATAAGCATACTTTCAAAGCAGACACAGCAGGTGGTCACCAAAATCCTGTTAAGCACAAGTAATGTGACTAATAAAAATGCTTGGTCTTTCTATGACTAGAAATTTATTTTAAACATAGAGAGGCCAAACCAAGAGAACAGCCTCTCATCTAACCGTTATGAGTAGTGTCAGATTCAAAGTTGGAATCAGGTGTGAGAACAGTTATTTTATGCAAGGCAGGAAAAGGCAATAGTTGCTGAGGATGAAGGAGGAAAAAAGACCCTATAAATATTATGAAAATCATACCTGATAGGTGAGAAGAAACTCTGAACTTAAAAATTCTAAGTAAGTCCTTTAATTGCTAGTTATTAAGCACTTCAACAAGAAAAATATGGAGAAACAATCTATTCATAAATTGGGCCTAGTTACTGAAATTCTTTGCTCACTAAATGTTACTCATGATATATTAAAATAAATGAAGATGAAAACGCAAAAAGACTGTGGAATAACACAGAGATAGTTTATCAGTAGTATTTCACTTTGGTGTACTACTGTTTCTTACAACCGATGAACAAAATGTTAGAAAAAGCAATCCAAGTTTCAAAGATTTCTGCAGCCAAGTTGAATTAACCCATCTGCAATTCAAAAATGAAGTTCGAGCCTCATGAGCTCCATGTTTTAACCAACCAAGCTAAAAATGCATTGCTTAAAAACTGAATTTCCATGCTCAAAGGGGACAGATGACTGTTTCAAGCCAAATAAAATATAAAGATATAAAGATGAACATAAAGCAACTTTTTAAAAAAACTCACAAAATGGGTCTCCACTCCCAGTATGCACCCTATTAGTGTGCACACTTGTGGGAATACAACATGCTATTTATCAAGTTATTTTAAGATCATGGAAGCTTATACATTCATTCTCTTGAACAGCTGTAACAATAGCTACTGCTAAGTGCAAATGCTGGTGAAGTTAGGCTGGAACACCCAGATACGATGAATAAGCAAACAATCAAGTAACTTGTCCGAAACTACAGAGTTAAAGCTAGAGTTCAAATCCAGGTGTGTTTGGTTCCAAAGCACATGCTCTTTATACTACACTACATGGCACTTGCAAAGAATCACAGAATCTTGATTGTAAAAGGAATGCTATCATAATGACTTCTGTTAAAAATCTATGGGTCAGGTGCTTCACTTACCTTAATTCATCTTCTTCCCTCAACCAATCAAGGGAAGTAACAGTATTCCCCTTTATGAATAGATAATCGTCAGAGATCTGACTCAGTCAAAACCAAAGACTAATATATTACCTAAGTTTTAAGGTGAGGTCTGCTTAATGTCAAGTTGACACTTTTCACCATGACCTCAAATCAAAACGACCTCTAAGTACTCAACAACTCAACAGTGTGGCATTTTTTCAGGAAACTGCAATAGGCTGTGTACAGTTTCAAGAAACTTACAGTGCCACTGAGCTTACAGAATTTCAGAACTAGAGAATCCCAGAGACCTAAGAGATGCACTCAGCTCCATTATTTTGCAGATGAGAAAGCTGAAACTCATAGATTACATATCATCCTTGAAAAAGGATTTGAAGAAATAGGGATCAAAAGAAGAGATTCCAGGTGAAAGATATATTCTGAAAACACAGAAGTCAAAATGAGCATAATGGGGCTGGAGAGCTAGGTCAGCTGTCTAAGCACCTGCCTCGCAAGCACGAGACATGGCTTTGATCCCTGGTAAGCATACATCACATCATGTTAGCCCCCGTGTGCCAGCCACAAATGCAGGCATGGTGGCACACACCCATAATTCCAGTACTGGGGAGGCTGAGGCAGGATCACTATGAGTCCAGGCTGCTATAGGGGGACCTTATACCAAATTAATTAATTAATGAGTGAAGTATGTGCTTGAATTTAACAATACTAATTAAATGTGGTATATGAAAATGAAGACCATTTCAGCAAAGCTGCTTGTCCAAAGGGCATAGTTCATTGAAAGTGTTTAAAAAGCTTTTTAAACAACCTGACCACTTTAATCATACATAAACATATGCCTATTGTCATGTTTATCCTATTCAACCTTGTATTTGATATGCATCTCCACACTGTAGTCAAATGCTCTTCCAATTTGTTTTGTTATTATCACTGTCATCACTAGAAAATGGGAACATGAATTTATTCATGTTTTAAAATCTTCTCACTCGGCCGGGGAGATGGCTCAGTAGAATAAGCGCTTCCCTGGCAAGCGAAAGGGTCTGAGTTCAATCCCCAGTTCCGCCAAAAAAATAAAATAAAATAAAATCATCTCACTCCAAACAGACTGTACTTTTTTTCTTAAAAGTCTTTTTCGCTCTCCAGCCTTAGACACTATGCCAAGATTGAAAGGCAAGTTTTTATTTTACTCCAAAGCGTACCAACTAAACCACAATTCCACAAATATTGCAGCCTCAGGTCGTATTTAATTACAAAGTGTAGTACTAGCATTCAATAATATGATATATGAAGAAATACAGGTCACAGACCAAAAACTGAGTTCAGCAGTCTGAATTTCTATAAAGAAAACTTTAATAAATTCTTCTCAAGATAACAATTGTAGAGGAAAATATTTATGAAGTTTATTTCAATATTTATGAAGTTTATTTCGTAGTAACAAGTGCTAAAAAGATTTTACACATTTAATTTATTGATGCTGGCTGTATAATAACAGAAAGAAAAATATAAATTATTATAAAACTTTGCATGAGTTAAAAGTGCTTTATTTACTAGGCTCTGGCATCATACTTCCAAAAATGTGACGATCCAAATTCAGGTGGAGCAGAGAAGGTGTTAGTGAAGTGAATGCTGGAATACACACTCCCTAAAGTCATATTCAATTTATGTATCAAGTACACACAGAGGGCATAAAAATATTCTCTCCAACAGTCTTGTCAGGACTATACTACTTCTACCAGCCTGAAGAATTTCAAACCTGTCTCAACTCCTGTCTAACTGGCAGACAGTACACCTGAAACAACTGGACCTAGTCCAAAATGTAGGCACAGGCCTCAGAGTAGCTGCCTGGGGAAAGGGGCTATCAGATGAAAGTGAAGGAGGCTGACGCCAAAAGTCACCCAGGCAGCCCAGAAAGACTGTGCGCATGGGTGTAGGGGACGGGTGTGTGTGTGTGCGTGTGTGTCGGGGACTTTTAACCAAAGTATCAGGAGAGTATTAAGTGGCATAAAGCAAACAGGAGAGCCTTAAAACGTCACTTCACCCTGAAAGAGAAAACGTTGGCGTGGCAAAGCAGAGTCTGGGTCCTGAACACTAAGGGAAAAACCCACAGAGACACAGTGAGGGACGGATTCCAAATAACGTCCTGCAACTAGTGAGCTGGTCGGACCAGACTGAGTCCACGGAGGGTCCACTTCAACCTGACATCCCCCAGCCGCCCAAGAACACTGTCTAGCACTTAGAACGCCACCAGAAACGATCTCTTAATGAATGTCCCAAGTTCTTAAAACTCCGAAGTTCCTTGACCTAGACTTCTGGCGGGACAACACTGGAGATTCGGCAGAAAGTGACCAGGCCGAGCGGGTTCCCAGAAACGCTGGAGTGACGGGGTCCGAGTCCGAGTCCGAGTGCTGGCCCTCTGCCCGCCCACTACACTCACCCGGATGCCCTTCACCACGGTGATGTTCTCGTTCTCATCCGCCTCGAAGGTGACCCGGCGGGTGCTGGCCGTCCCGCCCATTGTTCCTGCCTCAGTCCCCGCAGAGTCGACTGCGGACCCACGAGCACGTCAGGAACCGCGCGCACACACGCGCGTGGAGGGCAGGACACTTCCCTCGCCCAGCAGGAGGAAGGCCGTGACCCCGAGGAGCAAGGAGAAGGCGCCGGACCTAAATTCCCGCCTCCTCCGGTCACGTGCCGGAAAGAAAGCCTCGGGTTGGTCAAAGATGCAAAGCACCCGCCTCTACTCGGTAAGAGCACTCGGATTGGCCGGCCTGGACCCGGATGCTATGGCAACAAGTAGTGTTTGACAAGGCTTCCGGAGCCCCCACGGGTAGTGGGAATTGTAGTCTCGGCCTGGCGCGATAAGCACTGAGACAGTACAGTATTACTTTACTCTGGAGCGCTAACCAGGAGCAGAGCATTGTGGGAGTAGTAGTCTTCAGAAGTAGAAACAACTAGCTGGGGAACTTTCAAGGAAGCTCTTTCATCCAAAAAACGTGCTTTGAAAACATTATTCTAGAAATTTAAATTAGACATAATCTCTTAATGGAATTCACAGTTGAGTTATCCCCAGTGAAGTATCCCCTATGTGGCAAATCTTCACACAAAAATTAGCATTGCATTATGTTAGTCTGAACTATTTTTAAAAAGGCATTTGTCTATGTGCCTGAACATAGGCTACTGTGTACTCTATTTATTTTATATCTCTTTGTAAAGTACAATTTCCAATATAACAGTTTTCAAATCTGCATAAAAGGAACGAGGAGACAAGTGAATGCTGCATATTTGTTTCCTAAGTTTCCATCTGCTTCCACTTCATTTACAAAAGTAAGATTAGATTGGGGGAAGACAAAAAAATCACTAATTACGGCATGAATCAGCAGAGGATTTAGAGCTATAGCTGACAAAGCTGAGATGATCTAGTGTGGAAAGGTTTTAATTCAGTATTTCACCTGTATAAGACCAAGATCATTTTTAAGTTATACATGTACACATTTAAGTACTTTTTGCTAAACACTCTGTTGTACCTAACTTTAGCCATTGGACATTAGACTTAAAAAGGCAAATGTAGTTACTTTTTTTTTTTCTTTTCAGTACCGGAGATTGAACTCAAGACCTTGCACTTGTCAGGCACGTGTTTATTCTACTGGCCTATCGCCCTGGCCCTGTAGACACTTTAGAAATTAAATGATAAAGCACCTGCAAGCAGACACAGAGGTCCGGGGTTTGATCTCCAGGCCTTCCATGCCTGCCCCAACTCTGGGGCACGCTGAGAGGGCCATTGAGACTGGGCATGGTGGTGCGTGCCTGTAATTCCAGGCTCTTGAGAGGCTGTAAACAAGCAGATCACAAAGAGTCAGATCTAATAGTGAAACCTTGAACACCCTGTAGACCCTTCCCTAAAATACAAAAAAAGAAAAAAAGAAAGAAAGAAAGAAAGAAAGAAAGAAAGAAAGAAAGAAAGAAAGAAAGAAAGAAAGAAAGGAAGGAAGGAAGGAAGGAAGGAAGGAAGGAAGGAAGGAAGGAAGGAAGGAAGGAAGGAAGGAAATTAAATGAGTGGTGCGGCTAAGGCTACAGTTCAGTGATAGTATACATCTGGCCCTAGTTTCAAACCCCAGCACTACAAAAGAACCAAAGACATTAGTTGAGTAATGGTATTATTTTCATTTAAACTTTTTCAGCATTAGAAGCAATGGACCCAGTATACCATGGTACCCTCTAGGCCAAGGGTCACACAGCAGTACGGTAGCATTTCTGAATTTATTTATATGCTAATCTATTACTGTAAGAATTTTTAGGGCTGAAACAAGTCTTTTTCCTCTCTCTGTATATACATAGGCAGTAACAGAAGTTGCTTATATCTCATCATTTTGTCTTTTCAGCACATAGGAACATAAATTGTACTTTAGTTTTGCAATTTTGAAGCTACATGCTACTTTATATTTCTCAAATTATGTAATATATATGTTCAAGTCTTTTCTCTATGAAGAATTAAAAATTCCAAGGATTGACTTTTATTTCTTTGGGACCTTCCCTTCCACGAACATTCTCCAATACATAACATCTATTAGAGATTCTTCTTACAACAGATACTTAATAAATTCTTTTTTTTTTTTTTTGTAGCTAACCAGAATTTTATTTTATTTTAATTTTTTTTTTTACTGTTTAAATTTTTTTTTTAATTTGGGCTATGTTTCTTTTTTTTTCTTTTCAAAGTTTTATTGATAAACATATAGCAATGAGACAGTTTCAAATCAAATCGAAAGTACAGTTTCCACAAATAATACACGGCATTTATTCTTCTTAGTGGTTAATTGCTGTACAAGATGCAGACTTGTGATCCTACTTACAAACACCATTAGAAAAAATCATTCTATTCATTAAGAGAATGCAACTATATATCTATCCTAACCACTTTGAATACACAGATACAAAATGGACATTCATAGTTATACCCCAATTTTTTTAAGTTCCGTTGTTGAATATTATAGGTGTGTAAACTCAGCAAAATATTCTAAAAGAGTCCAGTAGCCCATAATAGCATTGGGTCTTCTGTTTAACTGGCAATGTCAGAAATTATTGACCTGAGTCCCCCACAGCTCAACATAACAACATGGCTTTACTTCCTATATTTCGTCTTCATACTTTTCTACTGGATGGTTAAGACCAAGGTAAAGCAGGACCTGTGCAACAAGAGTTGTAGCTTTTTGGTCTGAGAAGGTCAGTGAAATGCCCTCAGGATTTATCCTGAGATCCTGTACCTCAGATTGTAGAACCTTTGTCAGTGTCAGCCATGTGGATGAGTCACAGCCAATGCTTGGCCAATGTGCTCTAACAGACACTTAATAAATTCTTACCACAATTTTTCTTATAATGGATTTTGTGGAGAGAACAAGCAATGTTTCAGTTACTTTTCTCTCATTGCTGGGACAAAATATCCAACACCCAAAATTAAAGAAGGAGGGCTGGAGAAAGAGCTTAGAGGTCTAAGTGTCTGCCTGTTAAGCGCAAAGTACTGAATTCAATCCCCAGCACTACATGCTGTGCCAGCCCCAAAACCAAACCAGGCATGGACAGGAGGATCACTATGAGTCCAAGCTGTATAGTGAGACCCTGTACCAAAAATTGAAATAATAAAAATAAATAAGAAAGGAAAGTTTTATTTAGCTCACAGTTAGTGGAGGTTTCAGTTCATAGTTGGCAGGATCCATGGCAGAGTGGCACATGGCAGAGGCCAGCAGTCTATGGTGGCAGAAAACAGCAAAGAGCAAAAGGAGGAGGCAGTAGCCGCTAGCAAGCCTTCCTCCCTCCCTTATAGTGCATTCAGGCTATCCACCCAGGTGGTGCAGCACTCACACCCCAAATCCCAGCATTGGAGCATGAACTAATCACAAACTCCAGAAGCCCACCCACTCCATGACTGCATGAGGATTTGGGGGGACACCTAGACACAAAGCATAACAGATAGTAAGATCACTCATTATCTTGAGTATTCTTACTGCCTTAGAATATTGTTTCTTTCTATCAGATATACTAAAGATGATATAATAAAAGCTAAGCATGAGAAGGAAGTAGGATGTCCTCTCTTTGTAGGACACAAGTGGTCTTATTGGGAAGACAAAGAGTTTAGAATTCCTAACCCATTTCAAACAACAACACTATGAAGTGAGCCAGGCTTGGTGGTGTACTCGAGCCCTTGAGAGCCTGAGGGAGGAGGATCACCACAAGTTTAAGACAAACCTGGGCTACTTAGTGAATTCAAAGCCACCATGAACTACATAACAAGACCCTGCCTCTAAAGACAAACTAACCAACGAACAACAACAAAAAAATAGTAGTCAGAATTTTTAAAACACTGCATTTCATGATTCAAAAATGCTTACTAGAATAATATTGCTATATCCATGATATTTTCAACGTCAGTTGTGTCTATAACCTTTTCCTAGATACCCAAAATAACTGGCTTCCCATTCTCACTGGCTATGATTTATTAATGGTCATCTAACCCAAAGGCAGCATATACTCACGAGAGACTTAGGAGCTACAGTGCAAAGCTCTGCCCAAACATAAATAATAGCTAAACTTGATTCACTCAAGTCCTCTTTCTCCCCTTTCTTTATCTCTGATATCATCTTCTCAAATTAAAATTGACAGTCATAGGGTAAAAAAGGGTAGCAAAAATAAAAGCTATGATACTGAGTTTGAACCATGAAACATCATGGCAAAATAAACAAAAGTGGAAGAAAGTTAAGGATAATAAAATACAGCCACATTAGAAAGAAAGAAGTAAAACTGTTTGTATTCATACATGAAATGATCTTATAAACACAAAAATCCAAAGGAATCCATTAAAAAAAATCAGAACTTTAAAAAAAAAAAAAGTTGAGACAGAAGTGCCTGAGAAATAGCTCAGCAATTTAAGTGCCTACTCAGGCTAGCACAGGGACCAGGGTTCAATCCTGGGCACCGCATGCTGCACAGGGCTTGCCCCCGGGCACACTGAGCCAGCCATTGAGACCAGGCAGGTGTGGTGGCACAGGCCTGTAATCCCAGCACTGGGGAGGCTGAAAACAAGAGGATCACTACAAGTCCAAGCTGCATAGTGAGACCCTGTATCAAATACATAGAAAAAAAAAGTTGAGAGAGGTTGCACCATACAATATCAAAATTAAAAACACAATTGTATGTCTATACAGTAGCAGTTGGCAAGCCAAAAATAAAAAGAAAACAAGTCCATTTGTAACATCATCACAACACCATTACTGTCCATTGATCAATAAGTGAATAAGCACAATGCAGTATATTGATAATGGAATATAATTACACAGTAAAGAGAAATAAAGAAATAAAGTACTGACATATGCTATATATAGATGAGCCTCAACATTGTTCCACAGCCCAAAACAGTACGCCAAATGAAAGAAGCCAGACACAAAAGACTACATATGATTCCATCTAAATGAAATGTGCAGAACAAACAAAACTACAGAAAGCAAAAGTAGATCAAGCGTAGAAGCTCTGAGAGGGGATGAGTTAGGGAGTGATTTCTAACTAGTACAAGATTCTTTTTAGGGCAATGATTAAAGTGTCCTAAAATTAGTTCATGCTGGTGGCTGACAACTCTATAAATATACTAAAACTCACTAAATTGTACATTTAAAATGGATGAACTTTATTTTATGTAAATTACATACCAATAAAGCTCTTTTTTCGGAAAGGAGATATGGGGG